TCCTGACGACTCAGGCTGGAGAGATTGCTGAGATGGTACTCATGAGACCTGAGACCACTCAGAAGGAGCTGAACTCCTCCTCTGTCTTGGACGAGAACGTCCTGGAAGACATGAACAAGCAGCGTCAGGCGCGCTTGGGTTCTGAGATTCTCAAGAACCCCAAGGATCCCGGTGTATCCTTTGGTGACGGAGTATGCGGACGTGGTGAACAAACACCCACCGACCCAACTCCCACCGGATCGAGGCGTACGGCACGAGATTGATCTCGTGCCCGGCACAAAGTATTGTGTCACGAGGCAATGGCCTCTCCCGCGCGAACAGTGCGAGGTCATTGATGCCTTCTTCGCCGCGAAAGCGAAGGCAGGCATGGTGCGGGAATCGAAATTACCGCACTCGACGCCGACCTTTCTGCGTTCGGTAGCCGAACGGAAAGTGGCGTCTGGTTCACGCTTATAACAAGCTGAACAACGCAGCGGTGCCGGCCCAAACACCGATCCCACGAAAGGATGTGTTGTTGTGTAACATGGCCGGGAGCGTACTGTACAGTGCGCTAGATTTGTAGACGGATACTACCAAATCCTGATACGAGAGAGTGACATCTCTCTCACCGCGGTAAGCACTCCAAGCGGCATGCTCTGCGAGTGGCTCGTCATGCCGCAGGGCTGTCTAACGCCCCGGCGACGTTCCATCGCCTGGTGACGCAATTGTTCCGCCCTTTGCGTACCTTCGTACAGACGTACTTCGACGACATGTTCGTCCATAGCCGTGCCGAGGGAGACAAGACGGCCATGGAGGTGCATCTAGGACACCTCCGTCGAGTGTTGGACGTGATGCGAGCGAACAAGCTCTACGCCAACATCGACAAGTGCGTTTTCGCGTCACCAGAGATTAAAGTTCTCGGTTGCTTCGTCAGCAACGTGGGCGTTCGGGCTGACCCAGACAAGGTCAAGGCCATAGCAGCATGGCCGACGCCCCGATCCCAGAAGGATCTTCGAAAGTGGTTGGGCTTGGCCAACTACCTTCACAGGTACAGCGCTGGGTACGCGGGCTTCGCTAAGTCCTTGTCGAGCCTCCTTCAGAAGGACGTCGACTGGCGCTGGGAACAAGAGCACCAGGATGCTTTTGACAGCATCAAGGCCAGTCTCCAAGAGGCCCCTGTCCTGGCTCTGCCGGACGAGACGAAGCCGTTTAGCGTCGTCTGCGATGCCTCCGATTACGCCATCGGGTGTGCATTGCTGCAGGACGACACGGCTGGACAGGAACGAGTCATCTCGTTCCAGTCCCGGCAGCTCAA